TGCCAATTATTATTATGATAAAAGATAGATTTCTTTCTCATAAAGTTTGCTTTTACCAGTACTTGCTTCTAAGACATTACTTGATTGCTAATTTGGAAATCAACTCAAAGAACCAGAATTAAACATTTAGACAATAAGATTATCTATTTTCTTTAAAATGTAGAGCTAAATGGAAGAATAACTTTGTTTTTAATTACTTTTAGTGGCACTGGAATTCATTTGTAAAGGAGAGAAAAGCCATTATTAATACAAAGCATAACTTCTGCACAGAACTTATTACCTGGAAAACTACTCATAGTTTTTCATTCTAGAAGAGAAAGATTTTATAGTAATGTAAAATGTCATATAGAAGTATTTTACTAGTGAAAATGGAAGTAGGACTTTTTTTTCATATGAAGCAGAATGAACATCTCCACCAATGTGTCCAGAACAGAGGAAAAGCAGATGGAATTGGTGTGATTTATGCAGAAGGGGTAGCAGTTGGGGAAGCAAGGAGTAAGGTTTTCAGATATGGTGCCTAAAGGTAGGGTCCTAGGTCCACAGTTAGGTGGCTGAGTTAGAAACCTAATCTTCAGAAGTGCTACTCCCACTAAAGTCAACATGAGCTGCTAGGTGCTCACGACCTTTGAAAATCAGACAATTTGTTTAGGCAGCTAAATATGTACTTGGGAGTCCAAAATTAGGCATCCATTTTTGAAATGATCAATAGCTAAAGGCATACTCCCATCAAACCTGCAGAAACCTAAAGAGTAATACTCTTAGGTGGAATCTCTGTGGGTGAGGAAGGGTGTGTTAAGGCAGGGAAGGAATAAAGGCAAAGAGCACAGGCTTTACACAACATGTTTTCCATCTACAACTCAGTACAGCTGAGCTTAATGCAGGTCTGAACAGCAAGAACTGAAATTAATGCTATACAGGTGGCCATTATTATTAATTATTGTGGTTCGTATTACAGTACCATCTGGAAGTCCCAATCAAGATCAATGTCCAGCACAGTGGGATTCATACATACACATACTGAGAAAGAGTCCCTGCCTGGAGAGTTTACAATTGAAGTAGACAAGAATAGTAATAAGGGCTATTATACCTGTTTGGCAGATGGGAAAACTGGGGAGCAGAGAAATTAAATTATTTGTCCAAGGTCAAACATGAACTCTGTGGCAGAGCTGGCAATGATGTCTTGTGGCCAAGAGTCCCAGACTTTAGCCACAAGAGGATCTCTCCTCTCTGCGTGACATCATCCTTGGCTGACAAATCATTGGCAGCAGGACTCAGGAGTTCATCAAGCTGCCAGAGAAAGAAAGCAGGTCACATGCTGGGGCACACACACTTTGATTGGAGTTACTAAGCTGCTAAATGGGAAAGCTGAAAAATCTCAAATGCTCAGTAACATTACACTTCCAACTCTGCCTGTTGCATGTAGACAATAGGAGAACCTCCTAATGTAATGGGTGAATTTTTAATTTCCACTAGATAAATGAACCTGAAGCCCTGCCAAGTTCAGCAAGCACTGCCCACTTCTGAGGCAATACTGGCTTCTGGAGGGCCTCTTTGGCGAGCTGTAATCTCCATCACCAGAAGACTTTTCAACACTGGGGCACTCATCATAGTGCACCCTGACAGCAGCCAGTATAGACTCTGAACTGATTTTATATAGTTGTCTGTTTTTAGATCTCCATTAAGACAGAAAAATGAGAATTGGCAGACAAATGATCACTCCAGTGCAGCATTCTGTCTCTGACAATTGCAAGTACCAGATGTTTCAGAGAGATGTAAAACCCCCCCTAAAAAGATAATGCATCCAGAGAGGAAGGCACTTCTATGAATTGCAAAGTGATGAGACTTTACTGAAAATTAATCAATCCAAAAATAATACTAGAGAATCTACATTTTGGTATTGTAACAGCATAAAGCAAAATGTAAGCCTCTTTTTTTGGTTACTTGAATAAGCATACTAACTTTATTTTAATTTTAAAAATTGGTTAAGAATCCCCCCTCCTTAGGAAGTTGCATGCAATGTTTTAGCTCAGAGGATATTTTTACAGTGGCATACGTCATCCTCGGACACAGCTGTTAATATTGGATAAATGGCAACTCATGGCTTACTCCTTATGAGAAGTTACCACAGACTCATGTGAATCTTTCAAAAGTGAAAATTAAAAAGGCTATTGGTGAACTGTACCTCACATCTGCAACCAGCGCATGACTGGATAATCAAAACATTTAAAGCCTTTACTCTCTGTGGTTGATGATATCTCTAATTACTAAGACCCAGAGATAGGTAAAAAGTCCTTGAGAAGCAATCAAATTGTTTGATGACATGAACAGGCTGCTGCTACTGGTTGGAATACAGGGAGAACCATGATAATTCAAAAATCTTCAAGTTGCTGTGGTTTTTGTTTAGTTTTTTTTTTCCATTTTAAATCCGACTATATAGAACTCTCTTCTCCCAGACAGGGATTCTGCACTGCACCATTATCATGGATTGATTAGCTGCTGCACACAAGGAAGATTATCTCCTGTAGATTATGTAATAGTTGAAGATGATTTGGTTGTGTACAAAAAGTTTGCAGAAGACAGGAACAGAAAAGGCACTTCATAGATCTACATTACAAAGTGAAAAATTCAGTAGCAAGGCTATACTGGCGAAGATCATCAGCTAGTATAAAATATTAAAGCTCTGCTGACTTCAGTGGAGCTATGACAATTTACACCAGCTGATGATCTGCCTCACTATGCTTGGGAGGCTTGTCAATGTACAAATCCAGACCTCCAGAGCTGCCGTTGATTTATTGGGCCAACTTACAGATTCATTGTATATCATTATTTAAGTGAACTTCCCTCTAGTGTAGCTAAGTTATAAGATGCAATGGCAAAACTCTCAGTTAAACTGCATGTATGATCAGAAAGATGACTACTGAAAAAAGGCATCTCCTTATTTGATGGATCTTCTCTCTGTGTATTCTTATCCATAGCTGCTTGTTCACAATCTTTTATTCATATATTAGTACTTGCTGAGCTCATAAAGGTGTGAAAAAGAGCTAAATTCTCTATCTTGCACATCATCAACAGAATTATTACATTTCAGTTGTATAGTCTTTGCCTGGAGGTGTGTAATTCAATGGAATTACTGTGCAGGCAAAAAGAACCCAGTTCGACTTTCAGACCCCAGGATTTGCAGAGCTGATGGAAAGACCATCCTTTTAATTAGAAACCACTGAACTGACAAATCTAGTGTGTAGAATAATCATCACATAAGAATATACGAATGGCCCTACTGGGTCAGACCAAAGATCCGTCTAGCCCAGTATCCTGTCTTCCGACAGTGGCCGGTGCCAGGTGCCCCAGAGGGAATGAACAGAACTGGTAATCATCAAACTAAATCATCCCCTGTTGCTCATTCCCAGCTTCTGGCAAACAGTGGCTGAGATAAACTATCACATGAGATAAACTTGCAATGGCTTTTACACAGAATGTCCAGCCAGCAAAAGACAGCTGCAGTCACAATATGATGTATTACATCTCCATAATCAATAATAACGGTTGGACACCCTGTTTCTTATTATATGCACGTAGATTAATACAAACATTTAACTTCAGGAAGTACATTAGAGGATATCAAGTTATGGTTATTTCCAGCTCATAACCTAGTAACTGGTTCTAAAACACTATTATTAGTCTCTGTAATGTACACCACCACTTACAGCAGCTCTTTCCCCTGATCCACAGCCACATAACTTATCAGATTGGCCTATATATGAGAACCTCCTCCAGGGCAAAGGCCTAACCATGCGCCGATGACAAATATCCCAGACACTGTGATTGGCTGTCTGTTCATATATATTTGCCCTCTACTGGATGGCATGTCAGACCTGTACATGTATGATAATGTGGCCTTCCAGTGGCTGCCCACAACAGAGGATAGAAGCTCTCACACTACTACACACATGAGCGTGTTGCATGGTTATAGATCAGCTTAATAGGAAATTAGTCAAAAATCCCCTACCTAGTTAATGCTTGATACAGAATTTTTTTTCCCTTCTCAGTTACTGTATGTAAAACACAAGGATTCATGTTCTGGCTGGCAGGTTTGGGGTTACTACAATACCACCAAACAGAGCTAGTTGGTATTAGGGGCTGGGAAAGCTAAGCCTTGGTCAATAATGCACCAGTTGTTGGCTCTGCAACAGATACTGTTAAGTCGCTATGGCAGAGGTTCTCAAACTGTGTTTACGAGCCACTACCTGATGTTCCATGGAGAGATGACAGATCTCTGAGCCTGGAGAAGGAACAATCAGGTGAATTGGAGAAGGGATGGAGGAGAGTTTTAAGCAAAGTCTGGCTCTTGCTGGTCCTGTGGGAGGGATTTTTCTGAGCCTAGTGGTTTGGGTAGGTTGACAGGTTCCAATGCTGGATGGACTCAATCCAACCCATGATGCAAAAATCACTTTGAAAATCTAGTCAACATGCAGGAGAAAGGTAGGAGAGTATATGAAGCAAAGAATTTTCTATGTAGTGTGAACTTTTTGGATCTAGCCTTCAACAATGTATGGTGATTAGTAATGGGAAAGAGTTTAGTGATTTGGCTTTGATATGCATCCAAAAGTTTGAATTTTTGAGGTCAGGTTGGTAAGCTCTCAAGAACAAGTTTCTTCATGAAATAGCCAATATGTCCTGCTCTCAGTGTGCTTGGAAGTATTTTTTGGCAATATTTCAGTACTACCATTTCTGGCTGAAACTAGAAAGTTCAAGATTGTGGAAAGTGAACTAAAGATTTAAAAATAAAACCCTTGTTAAGGGCCTGGATGCAGGTTCAGGTAGGTGGTTCTTTTATTTAAATTGGTTCACTCAGACCCAGTGCTGAAACGAATATTAGGAAAGTAAAACTATTTTCCTAATTTACTTGATCTTGAATATAGTGAGAGTGTGCTGTAAACATAGTGGACAAAGCTCATTAACAATCAATGAAATGGACAATCTGGTATATTAGACGATCTTACCAGTAAAGTCGATGAGTTAATTGGATGCTCTGTAGAGAGCGGCACAGCAGGAGTTTCACAAGGGGGCTTTCGAGACTCCACTCAAACTTGATCACCTTAACAGATAGAGAAACCACATTCACTTACATGCTGTTTCTGTTGCGTTAACTTTAAAACAAAATGGCCTGACAAAGATTTTATTTATTTATGTATTTAATTTATTTTAAATGTGACAACCCAATAGATGCAGAACATCCCCAAAAACGCCGTGGGCATAGACAAGTCAGGACTTTAGCATCAACCTTTTTTTGTGAGGACAGTACAGGTGCAGAGACTAAATTCAATCTGATCCTGTGAGATGTGCTTGGAGACACACCAGTCCCTCTGAAAATTAAAAATAAATTCAAATTCCTAAATGATTCCCTAGAATTAAAAACAAATAATTTAAAAAAATTATACTATATATCTATATCTATCTAAAACAATACTGTAGCACCTAGAGGCCCAAACTGAGATTAGAACTTGTGCTAGGTACTGCTCAGATATATTGTAAGAGACATTCTCTGACCCAAAGAGCATAAAGTCTAAATAGACAAGACAGATACAGGGTGCAAATGGAAAGACTTGCCGACAAAGATTTTCTCTGAAGCACAGGATGTGGGTCACTTGTCAGGATTATCTGGGTCTCTCTCACTTAAACATTTCCCTGCCATTACAGGGGCCTCAGCCACTGGTGCATCTCTGTCCCACCTATTCTTTGTCTGTGGCACATAGTAGTTTAGTCTCTTGTGGACTGTACTACTTTGGTCTAATTTAAGTTGTTGAGTTTAGTGTGCAGGTGCAGGGTGGTGTTGGTGGCCTGTGCTATCCAGGAGGTCAGACTAGACATTCTGGTGGTCCCTTCTGACCTTAAATTCTAGGATTATGACTCTTTCACAATCTATAGTTCAGTCCTCTATTAACTTAATTATTACATGCCATTGAAAGTGGTTTCTTCCTGGGTTCCCCCCCCCCACTGCCCTCCCACAAGCACACACCCCAGCATAATCTGAAGGGTTCTGACCCCACAGGAGCTGTAGGAGAAACATTTATAAAAGACTGTATGGAGGAAAGACAATATTTTGGGGACAGTCATCTCTTCCTGGACCCCAAGAAAATATCCACTGAGCCATGGTTGCAAACCCTTGAGAAAACAGTTGGGACATTCTGTCCTACATCTTATAAAGTGTTTTGGGATCATTTATGAAGAAAGACAACGTATATAATGAAAGATTATTCAGCACGCAAATTGCTCTCTTCCGTCCACATTGGTGGCATCTTTCCCCCATCCTTACATCAACTGTATTTGGCTATTTTGCATAGATATCTAAAAGTAAATAACTCACTGTGATTCCAAACACTACTTTTCTTGCAGAGAAGCCCTGCCACTACCAGCCATTGATTTGATGGTGTGTGCTATTGGTCGTAACTCCTTTTCTTTTTTTTTCAGATGCTATTTTTTTTCCCAGAGGAAGAACACACAGAAATCCAATCAGCAATGTTGAGAAGCAAACCACATTCTCTTGAGTAGAGCACAATCTATAGTTCAGCCCTGTAGTTAACTCAATCATTGCATCAGCTGATCTTACTTTCTTGCTTATTCTTCCACTAATGTATCAATCAGACTGAAAGAATTAAAAGTGTTTAATGAAGTCATTGATCTGACTAGAGAACTTCCTTAGCTATCAATTTTTTCATTACCTGAACCAGCTGTGGGAGGTATTCCAACAATTCATCATTTGACAGATTTTCCATTTGTTGGACTGCAGTTCTGCGAATGTCTTGATCTGGAAAACTAGCGCAAAACAAATAGAGGTCATTAGGTATTACTGAGCTGCTGCTGATACATTACAATTCTCATGACTCTCAGCAATACAAAATGCTAAAGAAATAAGAGAAGAAGATCAATCGGTTTTACAGTAATAGGAGTCAAACACACATGACTGATAACTTAAATTGCATGATTTTTACTTACAACAAAAAAACATTACACTGATCTCCATGTACCTCTTTTCGGTTGAGCTATAATTAACAATTCAGTCCCATAGTTACACACTAGTATATGAAGCAAAGTATGAGCTTTCTGCAGCTCTTCTTCAGAACTGGCTGACACTCAGAATTTCCATTGCAAGGGAAATTCCAACATTTCAACATTTGTTTTTGTTCTGAATCAGAATTAAAAGATAAACTTTTGAAATTTCCATTGGAATATTTTTTAGAAAATAATTGTCGATTCATTTTGATTTTGACTTTTATTATATATTATAATTTATTTATAATACAATATAGAATGTGGAAACAATCATTTCAAAATGAAAAATCAAAATGCTTTTTAAAATTTTTTTTCCAAAATGAAATTTCATGGAAATTAACACATTCCCTTGGAAAGTTTAGATTTTGATGAAACATCATTTTCCAGTGGAAAAATGTTCCACTGGAAAATTTTCAACTAGCTCTATATTAAGGACAAAACTTCATGGCTCAGGAGTACAGCTGGTCAGAAAGTCTTCATTAAAAAAATGTTCTGGTGAAATATGGCTTTTTGACCCAAACCAAAAATTTTAGCAAAACATTTTTCAGCTTTTCATTAATAAACCAGAAATTGAGGGGAAAAAATCAGTAAAAGAATTCAGCTTTCACTTTCAAAAACTGAAAAATTCTCAGAGAATTTAAAAAAAATCATTTGAAATATTCTGCAAAAAGTCATTGTAATTTTTGACAAGCTCTACTCAGCAAATTAGTAATGGGCTATGCAGCTTTTCACCTCCAGAGAATTTGCTCAACTCTGTCCGAAGTCATTAGCATCATTACCATCGTATGTTCAGGGGACACACTGAAATGGGTTGATAGGCTCAATCCAGTCCCTTCAGGTCAAGCATCTGCATCACAGAAAACAACAAAACCCCACCACTTCTAAACAGACACTATCACTGGGAGTTTAAGGACATCTGGTGCGCAACTTCCACTGGATTTCAGTCCTACTTCAGAGCCTAACTCCTTTAGGCTCCTTTGAAAAAATCTCAGCAACAGTCTCGTCTACTTGATGCTCTAGATATGGATGACAAGGGCTGACAGGGGACTGAAAACTGAGCTGTCATTGAATCCAAAGGGGATTCCTTTCAGGTCAGGCCAGCTGCACATTGGCAGAGGCAGCCTGGAAGCTGGCATTGCTGATGCCCATGCGATGTCTGTTCTGTAAATCAACAGAAGACTTCACTCTTCCAAGTCATCAGTCAGGGCATTCAATTCACTTGAAAATAAATGAAAACTAAAATATGAAAGACAACAACAAAATAGAAGCAATGGTCACCAGCAGAGTAATAAAGTTTCCACAATTGAGAGAGACTGAAGAACTTGTGTAGGCAGTTTTGTGCAGAAGTGTCTGGGTACCCTGGAATTCTAGAGAGGTACTTTTAAGTATAATCAAATTTAAAAAACAAACCAGAAAACCCTACACACTTTGATAATCAAATTGCTGTGTGTGTTCAAATAGTTTAAAAAAATGGAATGACTATATTTTGGACCTGTTAGAAAGCTCCAGGTTCTGCACTGCATTCATAGCCCATCCATAGCACATCCCTTCCAAACTCTTTTTTAATGATGCCACTGTGTTTGTCTCTTTAATATTTTGTTTATCTTTATAGTGCATATTTGATGATGTTTTTAATATTGTCTAATTGTTTGTGTAGTGCTCAGAGTACCGTGTGTGTGGGGGGGTGTTTTATAAATAAATGATCATTTTAGTCCCAAATTGGTCTATTTTACAAGAGTTAATTATCTTGTAATGTCAGGCAACATACTATGAATTTGAAGCTGCTACTTTAATTTTTACATAGTTATTTAGAACAAAATGTATTTGAATGAAGATCACAAATTAAAAAAAAAACCCGAATCCCCTTATTATGTTATCATCAAACTAGGTAATTTCTCCAAAGGGTTGTGAGCCAAACTTGCGCTGATAGTATGGGAATCAGTACCTCCCTTTCCCCTCTCTCCTGGTTCAACAGGTTACTGGAGAGTGAAATATATTCTATACAGGCACCAAGTCAAGCAGAAAATGTTATTACTCAGTTACTGCTTGTCCTTGGGAGCAGTCAATGCTCGAAGATGTGAAATGTTACAATGACAAAATTCTGTTTTCTCCCCAACCAGACGAAGAATGAGAAACCTTCTTATTTGAACCGTTCCAGAAAATCCAACTGCTAATGGTTTGATTCCTTAAAACTAATTTGCTAAGACCTGTAGTGTGAAATGTGTCTATGTTTCTAAATTATTTTAAAGAGATCTGTTTAGTGTCACAATGCACTGAAAGGTGTACACACTGAAGTAAAAATCTAGAGCTTGCTTCAGCAAACATGGCTCTTGCCTCTCTGTTTTTGGATGAGATTCTGTATTGCTCTCAGTTACTAAATGGTTTCGTTCAGCTTGTATATGTGAAGGTCAGTTTGAGGTCAAGCAGAACCCTTCCAAGGGAATGAGTAATAGACCAATTGTGTTAACCAAGTGACAACTTGTTCAATCCAAACAGTAATCACCATCCCTGCTCTTGAATTTTTGGGCTGTTTGGGGCCACAGAGAGAGCATTTAGTGGTGCTGATTCTTTTTCTATTTATCTGTATTTCAGGATTATTTTGGTTAGGATGAACATTGAACATCCTTAGAAATATTAGCTCCACAATGTAAAACTCAGTCAGTATTCTGCCATGCCTAAGTAGCATTCTTACATTCTACTTCTTAAAAACTATTACGATTTGGTTCAGAAACCCTATGTGAATCAGAAACTTAAGAACATAAGAACAGCCATACTGGGTCAGATCAGGGATCCATCTTGCCCAGTATCCTGTCTTCCAACAGGGGCCAATGCCAAGTGCCATAGAGGGAACGAACAGAACAGGTAATCATCAAGTGATCCATCCCCTGTCGCCCACTCCCAGCTTCTGGCGAACAGAGGCTAGGGACATCATCCCTGTTCATCCTGGCAAATAGCCATTGATGGACCTATCCTCCATGAACTTATCTAGTTCTTTTTTGAACCCTGTTATAGTCTTGGCCATCACAACATCCTCTGGCAAGGAGTTCCACAGGTTGACTGTGCGTTGTTGAAAAAAATACTTCCTTTTGTTTTAAATCTGCTACCTATTAATGTCATTTGGTGACCCCTAGTTCTTGTGTTATGAGAAGGAGTAAATAACACTGCCTTATTTACTTTCTCCATGCCAGTCATGATTTTATAAACCTATCCTTTGCATTACTAGAAATTCCAGCTTCTTCTAGCCATGTAAACCATTTAGGTGAGAGGGGTCCTTTAGTGAGGACTTGTTGACATGGTGAATTACTACATGGCAAGCTCGTATGCTGCAGATTCACAGTCAGGCTTACTGTGCAGTAACTTGCTACGTAGATAAGTGCGGAGTCATCTAGTGAATCTTCAAGCATTGTGTCAGGACTGATTTCAGTCATCCCTAAATTATTCCTGATCCTCCAATCACCTTGACCATCTTACTTGCATGATATACTCCTTTCTCCTACTTTTGTTCTATTTCTTCATTATCTTTTCAGGTACTGTGTACTTCATGGCAAGGACTCTGCCTTTCCATATATTTGTACTGGGAATGCATATAGGTGGTGATACTGGTAAAGGGTAATACATAAACCATAATGTCAAATCTAGTCTTTAACAACATTTTGCAGCATCGGGGACTCCAACAATCTTTCCTTGGTAGCTTGTACTGTTTCTTGGAGTATTTCCCCTAGTGTTTCCCCTAAATGTCCTTACCACTGCTTTAAATGCATGATGTTTTAATCTTTCCTGACTAACTACTGAAAATAATTGACCACCTTCCTGTTTATAACTTCCCTTAATGTAGTTGTATCTCCTTTCAGACTTTACACTGACAGCTGAAACAGGATTCTGAGCTGAGTAAGCAAATTGCAATTTGCTTTGGAAGTAAGAACAACTGTTCTTGATTCTCTTCATATGGGTATCCAGAAAGGAAACGTGTCTTGAGCTACATCGTTCAGCTAAATCAGATCCAAATAAAAAACCTAGCACTGCTGAGACTTCATGTGAATTTGTGACATTCCCTGGAGACTTTTAGACCTAAGAATCAATTACTACAATTAATGCATATCTATAGTTTTCATTTGTAACAGATAAAATAGTCTTAATTTTAATGTATGATCTCAAACAACAATATGTTGGAGAACTCATACATATTTGTTAGGTAGATAGGATGGAAATATTTTACTGTAGAGGCTGGAGTATTTTATAGCGTGCAATGCTCCTTTTAGTAGAGAAAGGTATCTCACATGCCGCCTTTCTGGCACATGCCACCTATGAGAAGTTTACTGTATGCCATGCAGTGCTGTAAGCCCTGCTCTCATTTTGTATAAACAGTTTACATTCTGCTGTGTTGTCCCACATGGTATTGCAAATCTGAGCCGTGAAATGAAGGATATAATATTTGTCAGAAATGTAGACAGCTACACTTCCAGACCAGTATAATCGATACATTGATTCCTAGAGCCTCAGAACTCCAAGAAGCGTAGGATACCATTTGCTGGGTGCTTTATAAATGCCTACAAAGGCAGACAGAAGTGTCAATGAATACTTAAATGGATACGGAACTAAGATTTAGGTTACAAAATTAAGCTTTATTGTTGTGCTTTTTTATATTTATAAATAGATTGAGACTGGAGATTTACAGAACTTAACAAGAACAGAATTTTTTCCCACAATTTTAGATTTTTTTTGTTTTACAATGAAAACTAGTTGTTTTTTAAAATATTATCATT